GCGCACTTCATTAACCAAGCAGCCAATTCATTCTCTATTTCTTCTCCAAGATACGATTTAAAACAAGAGTTTGGTTTGGCTTTTACCAGATAATTTGTCGCGTAAGGTAGGGGAGAGTGTGTATGAAAGAGCCAGGTTTTAAAAGAGCCAATGCTGTTATATCTAACTTACTGGCATCCGACCATAATTGTATTTTACTTTTTGTGTGGCAACGCAGGATACCTGTCACCCACTAAAAATTTAGAGTTCTCCTAAAATAAACAGCGTCGTAAGGGTGCACTAAAAATTTTGAAAATAAAAAGTAATTTTTTTGGGGTTTACTTATTTATTTTTAAGATAAAGAACGTTTTATTATTTGATAAAACTTATATGCTGCATTGTTATGTATATATGTGTCCTTCTTTTCCATAAATAATATTAGATTAAAGTTTTGGTAAAAAATGTTTAAATTCAGGTTATTTTTTTTACCATACAATTTTTTGAAAGCGCCACTTTTTTATGCTATGAATAAGCATAAAAAGTTACTATTTAGCTTTTTTTTAAATTAAATCACAGTTTTGCGCATAACGACTTAATCGTTTTTCGTAATGCTACATTTTTTCGTAATGCTACATATTCTATTAAAACTAATTGTTTGAATGACTTTTCCTTAAGTCGTATAGCGTAGGTGCGTTTGAATCTTAAAAAATATATTGAAGTAATAATAAAGTTTTTACTAAAGCTGAAATAATTTTTTTTTTTAATAATTAAATATTATTTTTGTTTCAAACTTCCACACATTTTGTCAAAACTTTTTTTATATTATTGTATTCACTCATATATCACAAGCATAGTTAATATATGTGAAATGCCTTATAATCACTATGATTCATAGATAATATTTTTATATTTACAATTAATTGTAAATAAAAAAATACTTTTTTTTGATCGAATTTTATTTTGCACTTTAATGCATTACACTTTTTCTTTACCTTTAAAACCATAATTGGGGTAGAGGACCTTGTTGTATCTCTGACCACGTTGTACTTTTGGTCACTCTACTCTGTCAGCTTACTATTATTATTTAAAAAAAAAACGTGAAGTGCCATTTGAAATAATAGTCCGTGACGACTCTTCTTACCGTAAAACATCATACTTGGGATAGATGGTATTGATCCACAAGTAATTATAAGTTTTCTAAAAAAATAAATATTTGTGTTAATCTTATTCTGATTTTAAAATTCATCTCGTGTACCTTAGACCAGACTAGGACGTTGTACCTTTGACCTATCTAACTAAAGCATCTAACTAAAGAAAATATGTGACTTTATCTAAATAGTTATAATAAAAGATTTTATTTAAAAAAATTAGAAATGCTCTTAGTAATACTGACTGACGTAACTTCGATACACAAGTTGCAAGATTGTAAGGATTGATTATTCTAATTTTTTCAGACAATTATGATTGATTACAAAATAAAAAGATTTGTTTTTTTATTGATATAAGGTAGGTCAGACGTTGCTATATAAATATATAACAAGCTAAAATATTAAAGAGGTTTGAACATTGCATGATTTTTTAATAACAACATTTTGGTCAAACGTACAACGTATGTGTTGTACCTTTGACTAATAGACTTCTTTTTTTAAAACGCGGGAAAAAGATAATTCTGAGACGAATGAAAAAACGTCCTAAGAATAATTTTTGGGCAAAATATGAAAGAATATTATATAGTTTGAATGATTTAAGTTTACTCAATAGACTATGCAAAAACGCTTTAATGCAAAAAGTGGTCAAAGGTACAACAGGTTCCCCCTACTTTATCTTTGTTACAATATGTGTAGCATCTTTTAATAAAAGTAACCAAACCTAATATTAAAAAGGTAACAGCTGCATATTTGAAACAGCTGCATATGAGTTTTTATATGCAGTTGATGATCATTTCTCTGATAAATTGAAGGTTTATGTTTGACTATAGGTATCCTTTTCTAAAGGCATACTTTTTTTTTTTTTAATTTATGCGTTTGGGAACGGGGAGGGGATTTGTAATAAAAGTGCGTACGTACGCAGAGGGACGGGGGGAGAGGGGTTTCGTTGAAAGTATAACACTACGTACAAAGGGGAAAGTTAGTTATAAACAAAGCCGGCACAAGTAGTCACGTATGGACCAGAAAATTTTTTTACCAAAAAAAATAAGTTTTTTGAAATTTGCTGATTGACTGGCCTAAAAAGTCTACGTTTGCTGACTGACTTGTCTCTAAAAGGGTCAAATTTGCTGACTAAAGGAACGAAAAATTCATTAATGGGGGAGGGGGTCACAAACCCTCCTTCAGTCTGGCGTTGGTCATAAGTCAGTAGTTTTACTCCGTACATTCTTTAAAAATGCCTTATACTTTGAAATAAAGCGTGACAATTGATCCCTTAACGCTACTATAACGCGATTAAAATCAAACGCGTTAGCGTTATCGGATTACGCAATAGCTTTAAAATGCAATTGCATTTTAATACTATTGCGTAATGCTATAACAATAAGAATTTGTTAACGACAATGTGAATATATTTTAAAAGTACTTACATGGTAAAAAAGATAATGCAAAATCAAAACCAGTTTTACCTTCCAAGTAGTAGAGGAAGAGTGGTAGTAGAGGAAGGTACTTCCAAGTACCTTCCTCTCGTGATTAAAATACACAGCTACATCTTTAAAAAAATTATATAGCTAAGAGTTCTCGTACCTATATGTTTACGACAACTCAACAGACTAGCAATCTTTCGGGACTTACTTAAAATTGTTTCAACATGCTAAAGTACTACATACTGAGCTCTTAATAAAAAAATAAATAAAGGAGAGAGTGGAGAGAAGCGGGACAAACTAGTACTATGTTAATTTCAATACCTTTTTATATAATGTATGGTTCAGTTCAAACAAGTCTTAACAAATCATTTTTTTGAAAACTGATTCTTTATACAATCAAAATGTTTTTTGATTGTATAAAGATTTATCTTTTAGATTAGCAGCAAATTATAATAAATTATATACCTAAGTATATATATAACTATATATAGTAATAAATATATTATATATATATAACTATATATAATAATAAATATACAACTATATATAATATAACTATATATAAATAAATTTATAGTAAACGGTGTTCAAATTTAAATTAGCTTTTTAATTTTTTAATAAAACACAATTTTTTTGAAATAAGCAGATATTTTTATAGAATATTAGACACATGCAGGGCCAACTAGAGACACCAAAAATAAAACAAAATAAAAAAATAGGTTCTCAATATTTGCAATATGCCAACTATAGTTCAAAACTTGTTCAATGTGCCAACTCGAATGCTTATATGAGAGGTTTGGGAAGTGGAACACCCCTTGACCCCCTCCCTTTGGGACGGCTCTGGACACATAGCAGTTAATAATGGAAAAGAATGTCATATAAGTGTCTGCTCTACAGGCCTCCAATCAAGTAAAATTTTACAACACATGATTACATATTTGTGGTTCAATTTGAATAGTTTGCTCAATTAGGTTTTCTTTTGTTTTCTTAATTAGGTTTTGATTATTAGCGTAAACTTTGTCTTTAAAAAAACCCTACAAAAAGAAAGCTACTGGTGTTAGATTACATGATTATGATGACCAGTTGACAGTTTCTTTTCGAGAAGTTATTTGATTGATAAAGACCAAAACGCACACCAAGCAGTTACATTTTATCGATGCAGTTATTTTTCCAATATTACTCAAATTTTATTCACACCAGATTCGAAAATTGTTTTTATTTGCAAACCCACCAATTTCAAAATGAGCTTTATCACTAAAGATCACTCTGTTAAAAAATCATTTTCTTTGTTTGCTGCAAGAGCCCAATTAACAAATGCATGACGTAATCCTGTATAACTGTATCCTTTAAGCTTTTAGGTGAAGATCCTATGCAAAATATTGAATAAAGTGATTTAATTTATGCTGTGAAAAATGATGTATTGATGTGTTTGACTCTTCAATCTTTCTCTGATATAAACTCTAGAAATAATCTAAAATTTAAATTGATTTTGTAAATTTCTTTATTTGTAATGAAATGGTTTAGTCATTAAAAAATTTTATGCCAGTTAAGTTTCGACGTCTTTTAAGATTTTAAACTTTTTTGGAAAAAAGAGTATAAAATGCAGTTTTTTCGCTTTAAACAACGCTACATAAACTCTATATTTACAAATTTTAAAACTAATTTACAATGGGTATCCATGATAGCAATCCATAAAAATTGACATAAAAACCGCTTAAATAATTTACTAAAAATTATTAATTAAAAAGTATTAAAATTTTAAACCACATAATTGTCATCAAAATATTCCACAATAAATTCACACAAAAGTGATCGGGACAAGTAGGACATAAATTTTTTAACTTTCTTACTTTTTCTAATTCGAATGATCCCCCCTGTTTCCAACACCGGTGAAAGTTTTATATTTTACTTCTAAATTATGTTATTTTCACACGATTATAGTGGAAGAAAATAAGAATGAAGAAGAAGCTAAAGTCGATGTTGATACTTAAATAATAGAAATAGTAACACGCCTTATTTTTTGCGATTTTCACCTTTTATGACAATTAGTCTCATCTTTGTGATTTTCATCATTATGATAAACTCAGTAATTTGACATTTTTGCTCGTAATAGTGAATCATTTGCAAAAAAATATTTAATAATAAGTGGTATATATTACATTAAATATATTATAAATATTAGAGTAATATATAATAATACGAGTAATATATTTACTCGTGGTATATAATACTTTTTCCGTAAGTAGTTTCTAAACGAGCAATATTTGGAAATTAAATATTGGAAATTAAATGCTTAAAATGAAGTTAGTTTTTCTATTTATTATGTTTTAAATTGCTTTTAATTAGATTTGATATCATAGGGTGGTCCCAACATATTCATTTTTCATGCACTCTCTTTTTTACTCATATTATACATCTGTACACTAAAAAATACAGAAAAAAAACATACCTATTGGAGCTACAAATACATTTGAAAGACTTTTATATTTTTTCAGCACACATTTGCACAATAAACCAACCCCAAATAGTAATAGTGATCAGTAAATACATTTTTCTTTAATTTAAAGCGAATTCGGTGATAAACTGAATTAGTTTAAAATTCGACGAATGTGTGGTCTTTTCATTGAATACAATTCTAGAAAATATTTTAAGCAAGTTAATATCCTAAACTTAAACTCAATTCTTATTTAAAAAGTAGAAAAATAAAAAGGAAAGGAAGAATTGTAAGAAACAAATTCCAAAACAAAACAGACAATAATAATAGACAAGAAAAAATAAAAATAAACGTAAAAATTATTTCAAATATTTAAAAAGCACAAAATTGTTGGGGAAAAAATTTGTTTTTAATTATGTCATGTTTGATAAGTTACATGATATAAAGTGTAAAAAAGTTAAACCTTTCCTTGTATGTCATAGCCAATGTGTTAAGTTCCTTTGCTCATGTACAAACTTATAAGTAAATCTTTTTGATGGTAGTATATTTTTTTACATTTTTAAGCTATCATTTGAAATAATTACGAACAAATGTCTTACGAACAATTTTTTAAATGACGTCTAGTATAATATAAAATGATGTAATGTGCTTGAAGTTATTGACGTCAATCTGCGTGAAATAGTTTGCGTAAATAAATTTATTTTCGTTTCACTGCAGAATTAGCGAATTAAGTTGAAAAAATGAATTAATGCTAAGTATATAGTGTGGGGATATAATTAATATAAGTATATAGTGTGGGGACATACGGTTTTTTGAGTTTATTTTACTATTACTCGCTATACACTATAAATACAATATATATATATATAATTTTTTTTTTGTTTTAAGACGTAATTAAAACACGTAATTTAACACGAAAAGAAGATTTCGCTATTTTAATCCGTAAATAAGATTTCGTATCAACAGAAAATGTAATTTGTAACAATTTCAAATTGCTTTTTTATATATTAAAACAATTTATTATTATATATTATGTAATGATTTATACATTCATATATTTATATATGGAAGAATTAGCGAAGTTGAAAAAATGAATTAATGCTAAGTATATAGTGTGGGGATATATCTTATACTGCTGAGTTAGGTGAGCATGATGATGTCATACTCACCTAATGTCAAATAGCCTGCTGCCGGGGGCTTCAGTACATACATCGACTGACAAATAGCCTGACTTGCAGTGAGCAATTGCGCATATAAATATGTATATAGTAAATATATATATAATTAATATAAGTATATAGTGTGGGGACATATGGTTTTTTGAGTTTATTTCACTATTACTCGCTATACACTATAAATACAATTCATATATATATAGAATATTTGTAATGATTTTCAAATATATGTTATAATTCATATATATATATATATATATATATATATATATATATATATATATATATATATATATATATATATATATATATATATATATATATATATATATATATATATATATATATATATATATATATATATATATATATATATATATATATATATATATATATATATATATTTATTTTATATTATATATATATTTATATATATATATATATATATATATATATATATATATATATATATATATATACATATACAAATATATAAAAAGTATGCGACCGTAAAATTCAGAACAATGAATTTCGTTTTAAAAATTGTCACTAACACATTTAAATTTTTTTTTTTTTTTTTTTGCGTAATTACATTGAGTAATGATAGTGTTAATTAAAAACATCAACAAACGAGTCAAAATATTTCTCTTAACTAAAAGGTCGTTGAAACACTTAAAAAAACGAAGAAAAAAAAACTGCACAACTAATACAAAATGCTTTTGCATCGTTATTACAAATTGCTGAAGCATCTGAATCGAGCCAAACAACTGTTTATATGGTCATAAACGATACAAGAGCTATCTTTTTATTGAACGAGAAAAAGAAGCTGGAAGAAAGAGTGGCAATAAGGATTAGTAAGCAATAATTAGTATTTGACAATTGTTCACGCAAAACCCGTCTTATCAAACAGAGGACAAGCCAAAAGGTATAAAGTATCAGAGGTTTTTGTCAGGAAAGTTAAAAAACTTTAAAATTTCAAATCTTATTGTGCCATTAAATATTCAAACAAATAAGATAATCAATCACTGACAGCTAAAACTCGGGCTTGAAAACTTTATGACGAAATGCTTACAAAAACTAATGACTGCATAATTATAGATGACGAAACGTACATTAAGTACTTCAAACAGCTCCAAGATCCAAAGCTTTATACTTCTATTGTTCATGGGCGTGCAACAAGTTCAAGTATAAATCATTGGATAAATTTGGTAAGAAATTTCTTTTGTAGCAAGCAAGGTACAGCTGCGTTTTGAGATCTCGAGCTTTCTTCACTAATGTATGAAAAAAGGCTTTCAAGCTTCTTTTAAAAAAATTAGATCGAGTAGCTGCATTGGATTACCTTCCTTGAAAATTGTTTTGTGGACATTTTTAAAAAACGAACTTCTTCGATGACAATCTTTTTGTTCAGATCTCTTGGATAAAACCGTGCAAGTGCAACCGTGCAAGTTCTCATACTTTATTATAAACATTAAAGCTAAATTCCTAAAAACCAGGAAAACAGTCACGTTCAAAATTCTACCAAGAATTCTTTGTCAATTAGCTGTCTCAGAATTTATTCACTTCTAGAACTCTAAATATATACCAGTGGAGCTTGTAAGACGAATGCATGACTCTTTCCGATCCATGTAGAAATTTTTGTGCAATGAGCTGGATTGATGCTGCTTTACACAATTTATGAGTTTCCTCAATTGATCCCAGCTCCTCTATTCCAACGAAGAAGGGACAATTATCTACTTTTGAAAACTGCATTCGTGCTGGAGTTTTTTTGTAAAATAATTACATCTTGATCTTTTTGACTCAAAACAACTGGTCACAAAAGGGGGGTTAGCAGTAATTATTACCAAGTCAGGTAAGATCACATTCTCCACTGTTAGATATAAAGTTTCTCGTTCTGACTCTGATGATTCACTTTGAAATTTATTTAGCTCAGCTTCAGGGAAATTGTTTGAGCCCCCTACTGACCCACAGTCTTTCAAATCACACATTATATTGAATGCAGTAAATTGCATATATTGAGTCTCGTTTGTTTTTTTGCAAGAAGTTGAAGCGAACCCATAAAACGCACTACCTAACGAAGTCCTAAATTCTATTAGTGTTGACTGCTTTAAAGAGATATTTGATCAGTCACCATTTTAATTAACACAGCGCATCATCTTCCATACAATCAAGCATGAGCAAGCATTGCTAATTGTTTATAGTATGACGAAATATGCCAGTTTCTGTCTAACTCTACTACAATAAATCGTACTTTTTTCATAAAAAATAGTTTATAATTAATTTTAATAATAAAACTAAAATTACTTTTTAATTATATATATATGTATACATATATATATATGTATATATATATATATATATATATATATATATATATATATATATATATATATATATAATATTTCCATATATGTATATATATATATATATATATATATATATATATATATATATATATATATATATATACATATATATATATATATATATATATATATATATATATATAATATTTCCATATATGTATATATATATATATATATATATATATATATATATATATATATATATATATAATATTTCCATATATGTATATATATATATATATATATATATATATATATATATATATATATATATATATATATATATACATATATATATAATATATATATATATATAATATATATATATATATATATAATATATATATATATATATATATATATATATATATATATATATATATATATATATATATATATATATATATATATATATATATATATATATATATATATATAATATTTCCATATATGTATATATATATATATATATATATATATATATATATATATATATATATATATATATATATATATATACATAGGATTTAGCAGATCAAAGTTGCCACGGTATGTACTAGAATAGCGTTTTATCATTACCTGAAGACGCTGACCGCAATAGGTAAGTGAAACATCGCTAATATATTATTATATTTATAATATTAAATCAAAATAAATTTAAAAACAGTTATATGCCTTTTTTATTCAAATCAACACATAGAGTATTATTATTTCAAATAGTTACAGTTCTCGCTTACTGAAGAATTATTCTTAAATGCAGCGTCAATTTAATTACAGTTTTTCAGAAGATCGATGTAAAAGTTGTCGATAAACTTTAGGCCGGGTGAATAAAAAAAAGCAATTGCTTTTAATCACCGTTTGAGGAGTAATTGTTCAGCTTTACGAGTATAAAAAATCGAGCAAAATCTCTCAAAATTCACGTAAAGTTAAGCAATTTACTCAATTATTGTTCAGTTTACGTGAATAAAAACTTAATCAAAATTCCTAAAATTTTTATTCGTGTAAAGCCGACCAATTACTGAGTAAAAGCAATTGCATTTTTTTATTCACCTGGTCTTTTATATAAACTAGATGTCTAACTTGCGGGATTTTATTGGACAAAAAGGGAAGACGCTTTTTTTTGTTTATAACAATAGCCCGTCATTTGTAAAAAGGGCAAAAGTTGAAGCCGAATTGTGAAATAAAAGTTAAAAATGCAATTCAAAAATTCCCAATAAACTAATGATAATTTAAAAACAAACTTTAATAATTAAAAAATACTTATAAAAGTTTTTTTATGAGCCTATGTTTATTAAAAGTATTTTAGTTCATAAAAACGCTTCGAAAGCGTTTGTCGTTTTACTTTTCTATTCAAAACTTTAATCCCTTTTTAATCGAAAATAAATTAAGGAATCATAAATTATTATTATATAAGTATTATAATTTCCGCTTAACACTTTTACATAAACAGTATTTAAATTTAAAATATGTTTACTTCATTTAAGAAAAGAAAAGTTAAAA